GAGTATAGACCTATATTATAGGATTATAAGGTCTCTTAAAACTTATAGGGCTACCAGCCACACAATCGATTGACGTGATTTGCATAAATCAAAGACTACTTTTTTTTTTAACAATACCCAGATTTTATCCCAAGATTTAAAAAAAAACGATGTATATATAATGAACAATATATAGTTTTAAAAATGAAGTGGAATACAGACCTATGTATTTATTTTTTTTAAGTGTAAACAAACAAAAGGATTCTAAAAATAAACATTTCCAAAATCCCCAGATCTGGGGAGAAAATACAAACTTCGGCAGCCTAGCATACGATTGATCCATAGACAAAGGTTAAAAGTTAAAGGCCAAAGTGCAGAACAGTCGCGTCTATAAATGATCCAACGCTGGGATACTATGATCATTCAAGTGTTGGGATTGACTGGTTCCCTTAAATAAACTGGTGTTGAACTCTTGTCTCTAGAACTGTTTAAAAAAGCACGCTCTGTAGCCAGGATTATACCAGTCTAGAATCTCTTTCTAAAAACAGAAAATGTCAGCCGAGGATTTTGCACCAGGCAAATGGGATTTAGAAAAATCGGAAAACTTTGACGAATATATGAAAGCACTGGGTATGCAAACAACCTTTTTTAACTTTTTATTTTATTTATATTATAGATCTAGATAGATTTATAGAAATTATCTAATAGAAATTAGATCTAATATTTAAATATATTATTTATTCTAGATTAATCTATATAGTATATAGATCTATAGAAGTATAGAAATCAGCTTTTACGACTTTTAGTAATTTACGAAGTTTTACGCTTTCTTTGTCGTTTACATTATCATTAATAGGATCTAGCTCTAGAAGCAAGGCGCTTCTGTCTATGTGTGAACTAATCAGATGTTATTCCTAGTATAGTGTGGTCTAGATCTATAGTGACTATTATAGTCTAATTCTATACAGTTTAGTCCCATTGACTCTTGAGGTCATGGGTTAATTTAAGTTGTTAACCTAGATCTAGATTTTGACACTTATGCTACAGTGGCTACCTGTATAAACTTTATTGTGTGCAACATTTGTCAACAGTGGGTCACATTCAGAATCAGAAGCTGAGAGTCTACAGTAGTAAATTTCCAGACCTGATGTAAAGTTCCTTTTTCAGTGTAATTTATGGGGCAGATGATATAAAGGTCATCTGTTGTTTGTTTTTTTGGCCCACTGTTAACAAGGGTGTCATGTGGCCAGCACAATACCAACCACCTTTACTTTTACTCAACTAATGCTAGGTACCCATTAGCCTTTAGCCATTAGAGCTGGTTGGACTCAGAGGCGCCCTAAAGATCCAGAAAGTAAAAATCCCAGGATTCGAACCTAGGATCCCTGGTTTGGAAGACAAGCACTTTACTGCTCAGCCGCAGTGTCTCCGAGCTTTTCAAATAATTCAATAAAAAAGTGAAAAGTTGAAGTAGAATACTCAGAGACTATTTGTAGGACTATTTGCCAAGGTGTATTGTGTGTGAGGTGGAAGGGGGAATAAGTGATGATGTAACAGAAACTAAAAGTTACCTAAGGGAGAGGGTGTGAAAATGGGGTAGGGAGAGTGAAATAGAATAGTACATCTTTTTTTATCAATCTAGAAATGCTAATAAAAGTTGTGCATGCATAATGGAAGTCGGTATTGACTTTATATTAAAAGTAGACTTCTTCTTCTAGCCAGCTTTATTGCTGCTGAGCTGTGAGCTCTTTTGCAGACTGTGTGCTGTTTTAAAAATAGACTTAAATCAAATCTGTTTCATATATATAGCAGTTAAAAGTATGGAATAAGTTTCTGTTTTTTTAATCTGTATCATTCCAATATTAGACTCTTTTTCTTAAAATTATAGCTGAGTGTTTCTTCTTTAAAACTTATTTCTTTTCTAGTTATTATTATTACTTTTATTAGATGAGACTCATATTGGATAACTTTTTGTTTTCTTTCAGGTGTTGGGATGGCTATGCGATTGATTGGCAATAAAGCAAAGCCAAGACAAGAGATTTCTATCAAAGATGGGGAATGGACCATTACTACATCAACAGCTTTAAATAAAGTTGAAATAAAGTTTAAACCTGGTCAGCCATTTGAAGAGAAAACAGCCGACGGAAGAAATGTTCAGGTTAGTAATATCGAGTCTTGAAATTCCATGAAGAATGATGTTGGGCTAAAGGTCATGGTGTTTCTATGTTCTGTATGTTTTGCTTTGTTATTTAACATTAGTTGAACTTATATATGAATGTCTCCTGGTCACTGTTCCTTTAATCTGTTGTAGAGTTTTTTTATGTTTTACCCAAGAACCCTTAAGGAGGTGATCAAGAATTACAAATAATAACAATAATAATAATCTTGGGTGACTTCTGACTCGTGTTTTTACTACAAGTATGAGGTTCCAAAGTTTACAAATGAAAAAACATAAAATAAATTATGTTGTGAAAATATAAGGGTCTCACTGTGGCAATCAAACATTTTAATTATTAGCATTACCAGAACCTCGAAATAGAAAACATTATATAACAATTAAGAAAATAAGAGCTTTTTTATGAATTATAATCATGTTGAAAGGGATTGGTATCTGATTGGTAAAGGTGGGGGGCTAATGTTAGGTTTAAGTCAAAGATATGTTAAACTGCTGGGATGACAGCAAATGAGATTGGGTGATAATGTTTACCTCATATGATTATGGGAAATGTTTACCTGGTCAATGTATTGATGTGTGATTTTGTATTTATGTTGTTATTTAAACAACTACCATCACTACTTAAGCTTGTAATTTTCAATACATTTATGTTAATGAGATGGTCTTTGACTGGTTAAAATCTTGTGTTCGTCCTTTTTGAATTGTGAGTGAAGCCACTGTAGTGGATCATGTGACCACTTGGATAGTAAATGCAGGACCTTTTAACACTACCAATTAAAAAGCTACTCATTTTAAAATCTGGATGGTCATGCAAGATGTTAGCTTAGTTCTTATGTTACTGCTAAGCAGTCTAGCTGTTGCTGATTTGAGAGTCTGTGGCTTGCGCACAGTGAAAGCCCCAGTTATTCTAAATAAAATGTGTTCTAGTGCTGTTTTTATGTGTAACTCAATGTAACGTGTAAAAAGTGAATTCCCTATCTGACACACACATAAGTTTGTGTAATAAGATACCCTTACACACATTTATAATCTGGTAAAATGAGATATGGCTGTTTGGAAATATTTTTTTTTTAAGAAGTCTTTATGCATCTCTTTTTCACCTTCAGCTGTCTTTTAGTCTGTTGGGGCACTACACAAGATCTGTTGACTGTCTTTTTCTATTTAGACCTGTCTTTTGCCTTTGTTCATTCATTTATGTTGTCTTGAACCTCTTAAGTTAAGGCGCAACAGAGCAGCATTAGAAGCTATTGAGAGATACAGAAGGTAGGTTAAGTAAAATACGCGATTAAAAAAATGTACTCCCAACAATTGTGGTCACAGACTATGATATCTACACTTAAGAGTAATTTTTGTGTGCACCTACCTCAAAGTTTTGTAATGAGGTTTGAAAGAGTGTGTATTAAATAATTAATGGTTTATCAGTTGTATATAGCTCATGTTTTTAGGCAAGACATTGTTTGCACATAAAACAAGCCAAACTAATATAGTAAATACAAATACATAGATCAGACCATTTAGAATAGTTAGAGAGGCACAATGTCCTCAGGGCTTCCTTCAGGAAACAGTACAAGGAAAGAGGCAGAGATAGTGATGGGGAGACAACATTCTTCTTCTTCTAGCCAGCTTTTTGCTGCTGAGCTGTCAGCTCTTTTTGCAGACTGTGCCTGGTCGTGTGGTTTGCGCGCTGGACTGTCGTTTGGATTTATCGATGGTCCCGGGTTCAAACCCTGCCCGCTCCCATCCCCGTCGTTCTGCTGGAGGTTTGGACTAGGAAGTAAACTATCTTCAACTCTGAAGGAACATCCGAAATATGTAAAACATTTTACAAACATTTTTATAATTAACTTTTCAATATAGATACTATTTTCAAAATTGCTGATATATATTGAAATGTTGTTTTTTTTTTAAATATAAAGGCATATAAATGTAAATAATTGTTCAAATATTTTTTTCAAACAGACAACTTGTACAGTCAGTGGTAATAAGTTGATCTCAGACCAGAAAGGTTCTGTTGATAGTAAAATCATCAGAGATTTCAACAGGGACTCTTTTGTTATGGTAAGTGTCCCAAGAATGCTAGTTAATAGTTACTAGAAAGCCCATCAATTGTTAACATGTAGACTTAATGTGTTTCTTGAGATACTTCTAAGACTGTCTTTTCACAAGCTGTGAGACCTAATGGACCATGAGACTTTGCTTTCAATTCTTTGTTTCCTTTCTTATCTATTGACTTTGTGTCTAGAGTTATCTAATCAGGGCTAGTTAAGTACAATTTGTCCATATGTGTATTATGTGAATTTGTTTTTCCTCTTTGTTTCTTTTAGACGCTCACAGCCAACAATGTTGAGTGCAAAAGATACTACAAGAAAGCTGACTAAGAATCTCCATTCATTTCACAGCTAATAGAAACTTTTGGTTGCAGGTCTCAGTGTATATGATAGAATTAATTTGCTCATAGTATTGAATCTATTTAACATTGTAGGTTTGTCAATAACATATGTAGGAAAGATACACCAGAATCTAGTTATGTTTTTATAATAGTAAAAATGTTTATTTATATGGCTATTCTGATTGGTGCTTTCAGTTGCTTGTGAATCCATCTTTACAATTTCATTGGTCAAATCAGGCAACATTTACATCTCCATCCTATATAAATGTTTTTTTTAATGAATTTTCATTCTCTACATTTTCTGAAAGCAACATCCAGTGATTTCATTTTATCCAATATTTGTTACAGTGCAATACTTGAACTTTTTAAAATAACAGAACATTTTTTAAAAGTCAAAATTATTGAATGGTTTTTAAATACTTATCTTTGTGTGGATAAGTAAATAGCTTTACATTTTAAAATATTTGTTTGCATGATGTCAGTATTCATATTTTGTATTTGTAGCTTCAATGTCTTGGGAACACACACATTCAGTTTTAGTGTTGACATACTAGGTTAGGATCTAAAAGTAGCTTCTGTTTAATCAAGTGCAGTATTAAATGCAAGCAAAAGGTTAAAAGAAGAATATGTCCCTCCAGCTAAAAGCAAAGAACTTTGATGTTTGTTCACTATATCTAGTTGCCTGTATCTTACTAAATTTGGTGAAATGTTCAATTGGGTCATTGTAAACATTTGTAGATGTTAGTAGTTTTAAGTGGGGAAACTTTGGATTTCAAATTATCTCTTGATAGATAGACAAATTGTTTCCTGTGTTTTAAGTGTCTGTAATTATCAGTTCACATCTGTAATTTTCTCAAGGTGGCTGTCATTACTAAGTGTGTTCTTGGCTATTTTTAAATGAAATCTTTTACATTATTTTAGAACTGTGACAAATGGAACTCTTTTTTTATATTTCTAACCATGGACATTCTCTTTTAAAAGCAGAAACATTGTATAGTCATCCTGTATATGTGTTCTCTTAGCCAGATTTGATCATGTCTAATAATGTATGGCTTATGTCTGAACAATTAGATGAAAGCTGAAAATGCTAATATTTTCTACGGAATAATTATGTTGAATTATTTTAATCATGTCTTATATAATGCTCAAGGCTGTTTCTTGTTATCTTTTGGGCAGTTGATCTTACCAACTCTTAACCAATGTGAACTTATCAAGCTTCTAAGCGGTGAAGATTATTATTATATGTATAGTCTAACATTTGGCTGGTGTAGTCTGCAAGTGTGATGGTTTAGCCGTTGTGTGTATGAGTGATATCTACAGTCATGTGTGTATGACCTAACACTTTGTATGGTTTACAGTGAGATTATGTTGACATCATATATATATAAAAAATAATTTGTTGATTTCATTTGATTCAGATAATTTTGATTTTCATGTTGACAAACTTGTATGTCAATTCCAAGGGTTCAACTATTGTTGAACACACTTATGTACTTTGACCATCCTTATCCAGTCATTGATAATTTTACGTTAGATTATAGAATGATGACTAACAAGTTTACATCTTGATGGAATAAATAATAATCCCCTTGCTCAGTTTTTGTTTAATTTAATTTGTTGGCGCCACTATTTGGAGTCCATGTTTAGGCTTTTGTTCAATGTTGTCACTAGATGATTAGGCTTTTGTTCAATGTTGTCACTAGATGATTAGGCTTTTGTTCAATGTTGTCACTAGATGATTAGGCTTTTGTTCAATGTTGAGACTACGTTTTAAATGAACTTGTGACAACACAAAATGATCCTACTCCGAACATAGCCTTTGCAATAGCATTGATATAAGGTGTGGATGAGTGTCCTTGACCTTGTGGTCATTACTCTAGATCATTTGAATATGTACTTTGAGACTATTAACTGTTTAACTAATGATAAGGTGATAGTCATAGAAATTATGTTTTATGTATACATCATTTAAAGTGTATTCTCAACTATAATTTGGACCTTGGTAGGTTTATATTCAAAGTGGTCACACGAGATGAGATTTATGTCTGGTGAGCCATTGGGTAGCAATAATATTTGACCTCCCTGGATCCACCATATGATAACTACTTTGAGATAGCACACGGGGTTCACAACTTCATGTCCTGTACTTAAATTATTGCCTTGTGAATTAGGAGTTGACCATGGTTAATGGACATTGTGTAAGGGCCAGATTTAAACAAATGGAGCCTTAATCCTCTTTAAAATGTTTCGAAAAAAAACAAAAAAACTATATAGCTAAATGGATGCTGTATTTGTGAAGAAAGACAGAGTACTTTTATATTTAATTTTATTTTCCTTGTCCATTATATTTAATCCTACAGTGCATAAAAAAATATTTGAAAGTTTGTGGAGGGCCTCCTTCAGGGTGAGGCTCTTGGCGAGTGCAGAGGCTTAACTGCTTAAATCCGGCCCTAATTGTGCTGGCCCCATGATATACTCATAAAACACAAGCACAGAAAGGGAGGGTGGGGGAGTGGTTTTAGAAATACCAAACAAAAAGTAGTGGGTCAAAACTAGATCCTTTAGAAGCTCTAAATTACTAAATGTATGTTCAAAGTAACACAAAGTAAAAAAAAAAATTCAGTTTCACTGTACACAATTATTTATCACTCATCAGTAGATAACAATATCTTCAGCGCCAATAAATTACTGATAACTTTTTTTTTGTATGATATATGGATCTGGATTGGATAAGTATCAAAGATCGCGTCCTTGTACTGTGGTCACATTTATTTAAATGTTAAGTTAAATCACCTCTCCACTATGTGTCTGGAAGTTCTCAGCGTACTTCAATGGCCACAACTTGTCTACTCTTGTGTGCAGCACAACTCAGCGGCAACCTACAAAATCAAAGGTGGATGCGAGTCTGAATCGTGAATCACTCAATAGATCGTAGCTGCTGTTAGTTTGCCTCCGGGCTGCAAGTGTACACCAGCTTTGTTTTGTTTTTCCTTCTCATCAAACCCAGTCTTCACCATCTCAACAGTTTCTCAATTTCAAACCAAAACGGATGCAAATGTTGTAGCATTGAAAGGACTATTGTGTGGAGTCTGTATTGAACGTAATTATCTCATTAACATATTGCCAGATTGGAATCGTCTTTTATTGTAGGACTTTTGAAACGCCTGATCATCTTTCTTCATTTCCATCAACACATTCCGTCCAATTTCTCTTGTGCCCTCTTTCTCTCTCTTTCCGCGTGTCTTTACCTCTTTTCATCTCTTTCTCTTATTCTCACTTATTTCTCTCCTTCACACACACACTTTACACAGCATCTCTAAATCTTTACACACCATCTCTATATCTTTACGCAGCTTCTCTATATCTTAACACATCATCTCTATCTTTACACAGCATCTCTATATGTTTAAAACAGCATCTCTATATCTTTACCCAGCATCTCTATACCTCTCAGGCATATGTGCCAAATACCAACGATTGCATCAAATAGCCTTACTGTAGGCTCCACCCTCTTTAAAATGTTTTCCCTTTGTTTTGCCTTGTTTAGACATTAAAGAAATAAAGGTCAATTAGACTAGAACTAGATGAATAACAGAAATGGGAATCAAATTGGAGCATGACAAAATGTCAGTTATTTAGAGTAACAAAAAAAAACTAAAACAAATTCCACTTATCTTATTCATGGTAAACCAGTAACAGAGACATAAAATAAAAAACACAAAATACCTAGGTGTTATAATAAATGAAAAACTGTCATGGAATCCCCCACATTGACGAATCTATTAAAAAATCAAACAAAGAAGGATTTAATTAAAAGAAATTTCTATAAATCAAATAAGAACATAAAATTAAAATGTTATTTAACCTTGGTTAGGCCAATAATAGCATATGCATCCTCAGTTTGGGACTCCTCAACTCAAGAAATATTAAGAAACTGCAACAGACACAAAATAGAGCAGTGAGATTCATAACAAACGAATATTCACATTTGACTAGAATGACACCTTCAGTAAAATCACTAAATTTAGAAAGCCTTCAGGATAGAAGACTCAAGAGTAAAGTAGCAATTATACATAAAACACTGAACCATAATCTTCAAATACAAAAACAAAATCTAATAAAATACTCAGACACAAAGATAAAGGCATATTCCTCGTTCCATATGCTAGGACAAAACTGTACAAATGCTCCTTCTTCCCTATTGCTATTAGAGCATGGAATGGGTTGCCTGAGCCAGCCAGGAAAATCAGTGACTTGGCAGAATTTAAGACATTGGTTAACATACATGACTAGATTATCCAAGGAACACTAGTAGTGCGTAATCATCTTTTTTGAAGTAACGTCTGTATGTTATAAGATAAGATTGTAAATCTAGTTATAGTTATTGTAAATCTCCTTTAAAAACATATAGATAAACTTGAAAAACGTTTTCCACGTTTTTATTGTCTAATAGCACTCTGGTAAGATCATAAATATGTCAAGAATAATAGAGTCAATGTATTTCTAGGACTAAGGTCTGACTTTCTGAAGTCTAATGTTTGCCTTTACTATCCCATTACTCCAGGCTCAGCCAGTCTCAAGGCATAGGCCTGTGTCTTGCTTTTGATATTGTCTCAATTACAAATCACTACACGCCATCATTAGATTGTAGATCTTTAGATTCCGGAAGTTTATGTGTGTGTGTGTGGTTAAAGCTGCTCATCTCTGAGGCCCAAACTACGGCATGCGGGATATATCCGGCCGAAACGCTAATACACCGTGCATGTTGACATAGAGTATAGAACCTATGTGTGCGAAAAGTATATTACAGTATATGGCCCACAGACCAGAGAAAATAAAGCACCACTGATGAATATGGATGGGAATCACTTTAGTTGTCTAATTTTATAGAAGCAACAGTTAGGGTCACGCCAAGCTTTGAAGTCTGAAGAAGTTTTGATGTGCTGGGCAGACAATCGGTCATCTGCTTTCAGATTCAAATGCAGCGGTCAGATTTAGCAACATCCGTAGTCAGACCAATCTTGTTTTAGCACAAATCTTATACCTATATCAGGGGTTCTCAACCTGTGGCTCGCGACCTCCCTTGGGGTCGATTGACGATTTGCCAGGGGTCGCCTAAGACCATCGAAAATATGGATTGTTATTGTGTATTCTTCTATTGCTGCACGTGTGTGTGTGTGTGGAGTGGGGGATTGTAAAGAGGGGTCGCCGAGCTTAAAAGGTTGAGAACCGCTGACCTATATGTATAGTGCATATAGGTCTGTGGCACACATATTCTTTTAAAAATTATTTCCGGTATGAAGAGCTGCCTTCATAGACATATATATTTATGTCTATTATCTTTAGCATAGAGAGGTAACATTTGAAAAAGGCAGTGGAAGAGATTAACTAATAACCAGGTTAAACGTATATTAGCATGGGCCATACCCCCCCTGAAAGTGCCCTCCTCCACGTGTCAACATGGTTCTGCTGTCAAACCATAAGTATACAGCGATATACAGTACGATACAGATCAATGGTCAAACAGTAGGCCCTATAAAATCAATTTTAAAATAAACAATATTTTGACGAATCAATAATATGTGCCAATCACTGATGTAAATGTTGATCCGATAGAATATTTTTTAAAATAAAATGTCTGTGACTGGCCTAGACAAAAAAAAGCACTATGTAAGTAAACTATATCATGCCAGTGTCTGCCACTATATAGATTCAAATAAAAATATGTATTTACTCTAAGCCTACATTACTAAAGTAGGCGCGGTGGCTGAGTGGTGAAGATGCTGGCTTCCTAACCGAGGGATCCAGGGTTCGAATCCTGGTGAATACTGGGAATTTTAATTTCGGCATCTTTAGGGCGCCTCTAAGTTCATTCGGCTCTAATGGGTGCCTGACATTGGTTGGGGAAACAAAACATGAAGTTGTTCTGCATCCTCGGATTTTGAGTCGTGTCCGAGTCCATTCTCTTGGTCATAAAACAACTTTTAAAAACTGTCTCTGCAGAAATAAAAACTTTGCCAGGCCAGGATGTGCTTAATTGCACAGGATTTATAGACTAAAAGGTTGCATTGCGTTTTTATATAACTTATTTGGACTTAACTTATTCCTGTAAGCCCCCAGAGGACTATAGTGCTGCAACCAGACCTCTCCACCGAACTCGGTTCTGAGCTGCTTTCTTCATCTGTTCCCTTGCCCTTGTCATTCCAGTACCCTCAACTTCGCCGAGAACCGACCTCTTCCAGTTTTGCTTGGGTCTGCCCACTTTCTTCTTTCCTAGCGGATTACAACCAAGTGCCTGCCTTGTAACATTGGCACTTGATTTTCGCAGGGTGTGTTCTATCCAGCTCCGCTTTCGCTTTAGACACGCCAGCTGCCTGACTAATGCATTTCTGCATCTTACAACGCAAAAAAAATAATAATTAAAAAATAAAAAATCATTTCCCCGGTCCCCGCAAAAGTGAAACCATAATGATGCTGTCTTCTATCCTAATACTGGAGCTTCCTGTCCCATAATGCACGTGGCACGGACACTCCCACGTCTGGGTCAGACGAGCGTTCAGACCAATGTCTCTATGAGTATGGCCTACTTTTTA